ACAATCGAAATCTAAAAAGTAGATCAATTTTGAAAATACGTTTATTTACACGAATAATTTGGTACAAACAATACACAAGCACAACCCTACGCTCTAAATCTAGGGAAAACCAATTGATATGGAAAAAAACCAAGAATCTATCCGGCAGAATTGAACCTTTGACCTCCCCCGACTGAGATAAAAGGCTTTTAGCCAATCGGCTATGGCGGCCAATTGAACTAAAAGTGACAAATCTTGTTGTTGAATCGAACAATCTTTGGGTTACCTCTACTTTTTTGAACCAAGCCTGGCTTTAGCCTTGCTTAAGCCTTTTTAGCTTCAAACTTGGCTCACCCACAAAAGGCTTTAAACTTGTCAGCTAAACTTTCCAGCTAAAACTTGTCAGCCAGAAGCTAGGCTTGAATCTGGCTTCAGGCTGCTCTGGACTAAAGTGTGTTCCTTGCGAGGCAGCAATTCCTCGAGTAAAATTTACATGAGTAATCTTTGACTCGATTAGTTTTGGTTGATTTTTTTTTTGATTTTTTGGTTGATTAATCGAGTAATCCGCTTTACACGTCGCGTAAACTAAATACCTTTACATTTTGCCACCAAATCAGTTAAATGGCTAAATATCTTTAAAAGGAGCGCTCGTTTCCCTTTTTCCTCTCTTTTTCCCTACCGTAAATACTGTAATAGTACCCCACCCCCATAATGACGGTGTGGAGTGTTGCGTAGTCTAGCTTTGAACGAGTGTTTCTCGACACTTGTTTATGCTACAATGCGCGCTTAGGTATCAAAAAATAGCCGAAATTCAGGGCTATTTTTTGATACCAAAGACGCATTTTTTGAAAGTACGGGTGCTTTGAAAAAAATGAAATACTAAAAAACTTTTGCGACTACGCGACTGTACGAGGGGGGTGGGGTACTATTCTACACCCTAAAATTACCCTAGAAAAACAATTTTTGGAATAGAAAAAGGAATTAGAAAAATAGATAAGTTCATAGCGGCCTAGCCACGGATAAGCATGATCTGGCTTACAGGATCTGCCAGCAGTTCTTGACCAACATTACCAAAGATCAACTTTAGTCATTCAAGTTGAGTCTAGTAGGATCACAAAGTCTCAATACTTTTTTTCTAAACACTTTTTTAAAAAAAAACACCTAACATTTGACTAAGCTTTCGTTGATATTTGTGTCATCAGTATTCCCCCCTCTTTGTTCACTTCAAAATACTGTTTTTCCAAAGATAACGGCTCGCACACACAAATAGTTTTGAAGGAGGGCACGAGGTGGTCTCTTTCCGCCTCTCTTTCTTCATTTTTCTCATTTCTCTTCTCCTTTTGACTCATCTTTTATTATTTGTGTGTTGAGAGATTTCCCCATTTCAAAAGCGGCTACCCTACCTGTTTTTATTTGCATATGAGCCAACGGGGTATCGATTTCCCAACGCTGATTCATTAGCAAACTTGAAAAACTCAGTCTACTTGAGAAATTTTCGATTTCAAAAGCGCTCATTTTATTTTAAAAGATCCTAACTTTTAAACAAAAAAGCAAATCGGATTGTTATCTTTTTGAATGAATAGCTTGAGCTGTTTTTTACATTTTTTACGAGCCTCAACTTGTATTAGTTCAATTTAATGCTTTGAATTTCGTTTTTGTTTTTTTTTTGTGTTTTCTCAAAACCATTACGTTCTAGTTAAGATTTATTTATCAATCTTTTTTAGAAATCTCATCAAAATGGCCATCGACGCTCAATCGATCATCGAGATTATTCTCTGCATAGTTTTGCCGGTGAGTCTTTTATCTAAATCTAAATTCTAAGCCAAAACATTTGAAAAACTTGTACAAAGTAAAACGACATGTGCTTACTTTAGAGCTGTTCATTTTCGGTCTGGTTTTCAATAGGTGTACAACAGAAAAACGAGATTTGACCACTTCAGCAGTAACTTTTTCAGGCCAAAAGTTAGAATTTGGACAATTCTAAGGTTATGTGGCAAGAAACCGTGAAAAAGTAGCCATTGAAGTGGTCAAATCTCGTTGTTTTGTTGTACATCTCATTGTACATTGTACAAATCTCGTTGTTTCGTTGTTCGGTTGACAATCAGACCGAAAATCAACAGCTCTAGGGTACTTTGTGCTCATGGGAACACTTTTTGCCGCACTCAAAGTTGGCTTGATGACTTGAGGACTTCTATGAATTGATGTCGAAAGATATTGAGTGCATTAGAAGCGTTATTTTTTCATTCTAAAACACAAAATCTGCTTAAAAACGTTTACAAGCCTTTTCATTTTCAGCCACTCGCCGTGTTCATCCACGCTAACGATTGCAACATCCATGTCGTCATTTCGATCATTCTCTGCTTCTTCGTTTGGGTCCCTGCCGTTATCCACGCTATCTGGCCAGTTTTAAATTTTATAAACTAACAAAACAAAGTAGAGAAATGAACGAACGTCATGAGCGTAATGAACGATGAAGTAGAGCTAGCTTTTGATAAGAAATTTGCTGATTTTTAGTTAATGACATTCCTTCCATGAAAAATCGCGTATTGGTTTAAGTTATCGTGTTAACAATAGCGAAAAATTAGTGCTAAATCTCTGATTTCAGTTTTAAAAGCTGCAAGTGCTCTTTCTGAATGTCAAATTTGATCTTTCTAAAAGCTTTCAAATTTTGCTTTTCAACTGTATCTTTCCAGGTACTGCTTCCTCCGCGGTTAGATGTGCTACCTTCAAAACCATCGTTTTTTCTTATCAAACATCTTAAGTTACTCTTTTTCTCTTCTTTTTCTTAAACAGTTCAAGCTACCGTAAAAACTCTAATAGAACGGCCGATTTTCGCCAATTCTCAACCATTTTTTTCTAAACGCCGGTTAAAGTTAGAAATATGTGTTATATATCAACAAATCACCCATTCTTTCTACTTTAATTTGTTACCTAAGCGCGTAGAAACAAACGTACTGGTGTCGAGATATGAGCGTTTATTTGAGAGTAAACTTAGACTATGCGACGCTCCTATAAAGGGCCGTTCTATTAGAGTTTTTACGGTATTTTCCCTTTCGTTTTTGAACCAAAAAACTGCCACTTTTATCCAACTTCCCAACAGGCCTTTTTCTTCAGAAACTTGTCTTTTTCAGTGCCTTTCTAATAAATAAGTTCTCAAATTGAACCTGAGAAATCATCTTTTAAAGAAAGATTTTAAAAGAAAGACAAATTTGGCCAAAATTTGCAAGCCAACAAAAGGTTTTGAATGCCGTAATCCCACTGTGAATTCTTTGCATCAATGTTTTCTAAAAATGGAATGTTTGCTGTGTTCATTGCCTGCTAAATTTCGCACTCACGCCATTTACGCAACCTTTTTCTTTTCCTTTCTTTTTTTCCTTCAACTTCAATATTTTGATCTTTAGAAATACCAAAAGCATTGGGGCAAACTTTTATTCATTTACTTGAAAGTCAAGCTTTGGTACCAAAGCTTGACTTTGAATCTGGCTTCAAATCTGGACTTTTTCAGTCGTCTGATGACTATGCTCTTTCACTAAATACTCTTTTTTTTTCAAGTCTTTTATCCAATTCACTTCCATTTGTCCTTTAATCTCATCTCCACATTCACCTCTATATTCGCTATTTCATGCACGGATGAATCTCCATCTCGTTGTCTTTTCTGTGTGTCATTCATTCTCATTTCACATATATTTTAATTCATTCGTGTGTTTTGTTTCAACTAACGGGTGCACTTGGGACAAGTTTCAGATAGAAAATCCTCAAAATGACCGTTGACGCTCAATCGATCATCGAGATTATTCTCTGCATTGTGCTGCCGGTTAGTTGCATGTAGACATGGGGAAATTCCAACCTGAACCGAACTCTACCTTTGTTTTCTCAGCCGTTTCTTAGCCGATTGCTCTGAAATTTTGTCTACGAGCAGAAAATGCCAATTTTTATTTGTAAACGAGACTCCAGAGCAATCGGCTAAGGAACGGCTGAGAAAACAAAGGTGGAATTAGGTTTGAGTTAGAATTTTCCCATGTTTCGTTGTACTTATCAAAATCAAAGGACCATTCTTAGGAATTTAAAGGAATAGCTGCAAGCTAGTGTGCTTCTTTATCAGCATTGAAACATTCTGGTGCATCAAAAAGTCATGAAGACATGGTATTAGAGCCCAAGTCGATCCATGTCTACCTGGGATCTAGCCATCTACGTATAAGATTGCCAGTCATTAGATTTGACTTGAAAATTGAATTTATTGCCGGGTTACAATCTAATTTCTAGTAATTACTCTAGTGATTGCCTTAAATTGTGCAACTTGATTTATTTTCAGCCACTCGCCGTGTTCATCCACGCAAACGATTGCAACATCCATGTCGTTGCATCGATCATTCTCTGTTTCTTCGTCTGGATTCCCGCCGTTATCCACGCCCTCTGGTTGGTTAAAATTAATAAGCTTTCATTAAGTTAAACTAGTTTAACACCTTAGTGAACCCATTAAATTAGAGAGTTAAATGAAATGAAATAAACATGTAAAACGTGAGATCGTTATTGTTATTTTAAAGTAAAAAGTTTTCTACATTTTCAAAACTTTAAAGAACTTTCTGTTGCTCAAAAATTCTCGGAAATTTTTTAGGTACTGCTTCTTCCGTCGTTAGATCTTCGTCCGCCAATCAAAAACAAAATTTACTTACAATTAATGACATTATTCCATTCTAAAACTAAATTCCGAATATAATCTGATATCGAATTTTGTATCAGCGTTCACCAATTGATGCCTTTGTAAAAATTTTTGGTACTTTTGACTACTTTTTGTACATTTTGCACGCTATTTTACATTTGTTTCACATTTGTTTGCTAACTTGCTAAATTTACGTTTAAAAAGCTAAAATTTGTCTTTAATGCAAACGCGAATGTTCTTTTCTTAATGTAAAGTGGCGTGCAAAATAGTCAAAAGTACCAAATTCTCAATTTATCTCATGTGTTTTGATAAAGATTTAAAAATTTATTGCTTATAAAGTACATCTTTTGTATTCACATCACCATCGAGAAGGGTTCACCTAAAATTTAAAGCTGAAAAGTTGGTACTTTACTTTACAACTTATTGAGCTTAACTCAGTCCTCAATGTCTTGAATCAAATAATTCTTTTTTGCTAATAGATTCTGAGTTAATTGCTTTAGAAAAAACAATATTGAACGAAGGTAACTGTTTTCTAAAAGTTCTAATGATTATTCAAAGTGCTCGCGTCGGGAATGCCCGGTTGTTCGGCCTATGCCTATCGTTCTAAGATTCTATTTATGATTACGATTGCTCAATGCTTATGCTTTATGCTCAAAAACCTGAATATATTCAAGAAATAGTCATAAAAGATCGAAATTCAACCAAAGAAATGTTCTTTTCTTGCGGAAATTTCTATCTAACCACCTACGAATTCGTGAAAGATCACCGGGAATTCCCTAGGCGCGCACTTTGAATAACTATCAGAACTTTTAGGAAACAGTTACCTTTGTCTAACAATGTTTTTTCTAGAGCAAGTAACTCAGAATCTATTAGCAAAAAAGAATTATTTGATTCGAGACATCGAGGACTGAGTTAGGCTCAGTAACGAGCGCTCAATAGCTTGAGTTTCCATAATTCTGCCTTGAGCCACAATTCAATTACCTGTGGCAATTAGCTATCCAATTTTACCTGTGGCATTGTGTTTGCCTCAGTCTCCGTGATCTCCGTCGAATTCCCATTCAAATCATCCAATCCATCCGATAAATAATACTCCTCACCACCCGATTTCTCGCTTTTACCCCCGCTCTTCAACTTCTTGAACTTACTCGCCATATTGGTGTATCTAAAATAGGACTTGATTATGAAGCTGTTCTTGATTACAATTTGATCGATCTGACCAGAGCTGAACTTGATTTTGGTTTTTTTTCTTAAAGGCTTACTTGAGACAACAGTTACTGCTTCCACATGGGACGTAACCTGGTTGGCAAGTGCATGGAAGAGTTGAACAGCGTATCGTTGGTAAAGGTTCGACTAAATTCTGGGAATATGATTTTACAATTAGATTTTGTTCCGTTTAACCAGTGTGACCAGTTAACCAAAACCGGTTGATTCTCTGGATTTATGCTTCTCTGGATTTATGCTATGTGGTATCGAATGCTTTTGGAAACGAAAGCATTAGTAAGACTCAATGCTATGAATGGTTTCCCCGCTTTAAAAACAAAAATGAGAGTCTGCAAGACGAGCAAGGTCGTTCGTCGAGCTTGATGATGATAAACTCTTGGAGAAGTCAGCTTGATGATGATAAACTCTTGGAGATGTCAGAACTTGATGATGACAAACTCTTGGAGATGTCAGAACTTGATGATGACAAACTCATGGAGATGTCAGAGCTTAATGATGACAAACTCTTGGAAATAATCGAGACTGATCCAACAATGACTACTCGTAAACTAGCAGAAAGGTTTCCAGTTTCACAAACAACAATCGACAACCATCACCTTGAAAAAAAATCGTGCTAGAAAATGGGTACCACACGCGTTGACCGATGACAACAAAATGTTTGACTTATCGTCTACTCGATCATACTTTAAAAGTCCAAAGCACACGATTTTTTCGCCAAAATCTTAAATTCTGATGATGCATGGATTCCCCATAAAAATATCAAACGAAAAAAACCAATGGCTATCTACAGGCCCACAAACTGGAAATCCACGAGAAAAAGATCATATTGTTGGTGGAATTCAAAAGGATTGGTGCACGATGAGTTGTTAAAATCTCGAGAAACTGTTAATGCAGATCTAAACTTCAAGCAACTGACGAGAGCCAGTGAAAATTTGATAAATTGGAAGCTCAAACCGGAAAGGATTCGATTTTTGCAAGACAACACTTCTCATGTTTATATTTAAAGAAATATAAAAACCAAAAATTAAGACCGGGACCGAACCCCGATCTTACGACCGAGAGGCCGCCCTCTTATCCACTCGACCAAAGGCGCCTATAGGGCGGTGATTGAAAAGCGCGCTTTAAAGCTTCATGTCGATTTTTTTCAATTCTTTAAAATTCTTTAAAGCTTCGAAATTTCAATTCAATTTTGATTCAATTTTCGATTCAATTTTCGTTTGCGAGCTTATTTGGCGAATTTTGATTAGAGATTATGAATCTCGATGCTCGATTTAGTAAGATGTACACTACTGGACAATGAAATATGATATTTGAAAAATGATCGTCACTTTCGCGCGTCTGTAACTCCCTTGTCTTTGAGTTTAAACTATTAGTGTTATACACTTTCTGAAAGCTCTTTTCAAGGGCTACACAATGATAATATTAATATTTAGAAATACGGTAAAGACAAAGGAGTTACAGACGCGCGAAAGTGACGATCGTTTTTCAAATATCATATTACATTGTCCAGTAGTGTATCATGCTCATTATTGACATTATTGATAGACTAACTATTTGTTTACCAATCAGTTTACCCGAGTTGGAACTAGAGCAGATCAAAAAGTTGTGCACTGCCGGGAATCGAACCAACCCACGAACCCATCCTCGAATCTTTCGCCTACCGGGAATGCTAACCATTACATTACACCACAACACACTTGATCTCCTTTACTCTAGAAGAACTCTAGAGAGTAGTTTACTCTACTCTAGAGAACTATAGGATTTAGCTTCGAATCCTGGTCAAATTTTATATTCCAGTCTACAAGAGAACCTACAGTACTGGACGATGAAATATGATATTTGAAAAATGATCGTCACTTTCGCGCGTCTGTAACTCCCTTGTCGTTGAGTTTAAACTATTAGTGTTATACATTTTCTGAAAGCTCTTTTCAAGGCCTACACAATGGTAATATTAATATTTAGAAATACGGTAAAGGCAAGGGAGTTACAGACGCGCGAAAGTGACGATCGTTTTTCAAATATCATACTTCATTGTTCAGTAGTGTATGTGGTCCGAAAACCAAAGCTCAAAGGAAATTCGTGCCTTTCCCTAGTAAACATGTTTCCAGGATCATTTTGATCTACTTGCCTAATCTTAAATATACCTTTTTTTATAAATTCTTTTATCCTAAACTTATCAATGATTTGGCAGTGATTTGGCAGTGATTTGACAATGATTTGACAGTGATTTGACAGTGATTTGACAGTGATTTGACAGTGATTTGACAGTGATTTGACCGTGATATCAACTATTTTGTTTTCTTTAGAAATTACCAAGCGTAAGTCGAAACCAAAAAGCACTTTGAATACACGAAAAGCCAAAATTAGTTCCAAAAAATTGTTTTCTACCAATCCCATTCCCATTGTTTGACCCATTTTGATCTTTTTGCACCGAATTCTTTTTTGAATATCGGAGATCTTCTCCTCAACCACGTTTTCTCCTCCAGAAATGTCTCAATTTCAAATGGATCTCATTTTTCACAACAAACACTTCACACAAATCCCATCAGACACGTTTTCTTTTCTTTTCATTTTGAAAGGATTTGGAAAAGAATGAAACACGATGACAAACAGCTCACTGTTTACCGCTATGGGTCGAAATTTTTGGCTCTTTTCCGTTTTTCCGTTTTTCTGGACTTTTTCCCGTTTTCGCGAACGTCTAAGACGTTTTTGATACATCTAACTTTACTTAGCAATAATATAGTCATGGACAAAAGTCTTGGCGGGTCCTGGGTGGCAACTTTCAAACGCAAATTTAGGAACCTTTCCGAGAGGCTATAAAAAAGTTGTCACAAGTATTTTTGAGCATTTTTACTCTACTTTTAGCTTATTTTTGTTGTCTCAAATAAACTTTGAGTTCAATGCTTGGTCATAGCTAAAAGTAGAGTAAAAATGCTCAAAAATACTTGTGACAACTTTTTTATAGCCTCTCGGAAAGGTTCCTAAATTTGCGTTTGAAAGTTGCCACCCAGGATCCGCCAAGACTTTTGTCCATGACTGTATTATTGTTATCTTTTTAGCTTTAAAGCTTTGAGTAAGCTTTAAAGCTTTAGATAGCTTTAAAGAAATCATTTCAAGCTTTCAAATGATACAAAGCTTGATTGAATTCGATGATTCAAGTAGCTGATTTCTTTTGGCCAAGCTTTGGCTATGATTTTCTCAGGATTAGTTGATTCAATGAGCTTTTTATATAATTGAAAAGCTGTTTTCTTTAAAACTATAAAAAGTTAAGAGTAATATTGAATAAAATTGAAACGAAATCAACTTGCAAAACGCGCTAAACGTCTTAAACTCACTAAAAGTCCGGGAAAACGGAGAAGAGCGAAATTTTTATTGGGAAAATGCAATTGAGAGCTAGATTTGGCTTAAGAATTGATCCCTTTTCATTAAAATTTATTCAAATTCACCACAAATACCAGAAACGGAAATTTTCATAGAAAGTACAGTCGGAAAATCGTTGAGCATTCAATCGGGGGAGAAAGAATTGGGAAAAATAGACTAGTACACCGTAGTCGAAATTTTTATGCAAAAAAGAGTGGATGAATTTCTTTTGAAAGTATGAGTCTTGTTTATTTTGATTCTGATTTTAAGGTTCTGATTTTAAGGGGAGTGGGATAAATGCGACCCTTTTTTTGCGCACCTGGACATTTGCGCACCTTTTTTCTTGCTGGAAAAGGCCTTAGGCAAGGCCGTAGAGCTTCGAGAATATTTTCATATAAGGGAATCGTGTGCGTAGATTCCGAATTTCGACAAATCAGACCTCGCTGACACGTCAAATTTGGGCTAAAAAGCAAAAACTGCGGAAAAGCGTTAAGTTGCGTAGTTTTTGCCTTTTAGCCCAAATTTGACGTGTCAGCGAGGTCTGATTTGTCGAAATTCGGAATCTACGCATACGATTCCCTTCGATGAAAACATTTTTGAAGCTCTACGACCTTTTCCAAGGCCTTTTCCAGCAAAAAAAGGTGCTCAAATGTCCAGGTGCGCAAAAAAAGGTCGCATTTGTCCCACTCCCATTTTAAGCATTTAATTACCGTATTTCTTCGAATAGAAGACCGGGTAAAGAGTATCATCGCGTACTCCTGCGTGGCAGCCATTTTTAAAATTTCTTTTCTGCATAAAAGCTTTCAATCAAGTGCTATAGGGCTGGAAAATGACTCAAAAATACCACATGAGCTAACAGATTTTTGAGCCATTTTCCAGCTCTATAGCACTTGATTGAAAGCTTTTATGCAGAAAAGAAATTTTATGCAGAAAAAAGAAAAGGACTGCTACGCAGGAGTACGCGATGATACTCTTTGCCCGGTCTTCTATTCGAAGAAATACGGTATCAGTTATTTATAAATCAATGGGGTTTCCTGGGTACTTTGTGCTTGAGAAATCGAAACAAATCTCTTCTAGTTTATCCCAGTTTCCCGTTCAACACGCTCCTTTTAATCCTGTGGTTAATTAAGGGATCATTAAGGGATCATTAAGGGATAATTAAGGGATAATTAAGGGATAATTAAGGGATAATTAAGGGATAATTAAGGGAGAATTAAGGGAGAATTAAGGGATAATTAAGGGATAATTAAGGGATAATTAAGGGATAATTAAGGGATAATTAAGGGAGAATTAAGGGATAATTAAGGGATAATTAAGGGAGAATTAAGGGAGAATTAAGGGATAATTAAGGGAGAATTAAGGGAGAATTAAGGGATAATTAAGGGAGAATTAAGGGAGAATTAAGGGAGGATTAAGGGAGGATTAAGGGAGAATTAAGGGAGAATTAAGGGAGAATTAAGGGATCATTAAGGGATAATTAAGGTTAATTAGGATTCTGCCTTAAAATTAAGAGTACGTCAGAAAAGAGATGTTCACATTTTTGAGCATAAATTACTCAGAAAACCCTTTCAAATTCAAATTCAATTTCAAATTCAAAAGCTAGATCCAACAAATGCAACCACTCCTTTTTCACAAAAGAACCCAATGAAAATAGAAAAGTAAAAAGATTGTGAAAGTCAGCGAAAGAAAGAAAAGAAAAGATGTTACAATGAAAGAATTATCCAAAACGATTCTCAGAATCTCTGAGAAATCGCCGCTTTTCGCCTTCCCGCCTTTTCAAACGGTGATATTGTTGGAAATCTGAAAAGTTGTTGAAAGTTGTTGAAAGTTGAAAACGATGTTAATGAAAGGAAAGTCTTCAAAAGATCCCAGATCCACTTAAGAATCAGGGTACTTTTCCAATATCGGGGAAGCGGAAAGATTATCGGGGGAGCGGAAAGATTATCGAGGGAGCGAAAGGAAAATCGGGGGAGCAAATTTTGCCCCCTCGAAAAATGCATTTCCGGGACTGTATTTTAACTCCAAGGTTATTTTTTAAAACTTTAACGACGATGCGCTTCTCCGATATTTGCGCTCAAGCGTCAAGAAATCGACGACAATCGATTATTTCGTCACCAAAGGAGTCATCCAGTCGTGGATTTGCAAATGTGGCGAATCGATGAAAGTTCGCTTAAAGGAAAAAGATCTATTTCGCTGGGTATTTGACACTTGCGCACGGCGAAAGGTCCCTAAGCATTCAAGAGGAAGTTGAGGAACTTTTTGCAACAAAGCAAGCTCCCGTTCGTCACAATTTGTAGCGCTGCCAAAATTTGCTCCCCCGATTTTCCTTTCGCTTCCCCGATAATCCTTTCGCTCCCCCGATATTGGAAAAGAACCAGAATCAGAATAGCATGCACTTTACTATTAATACATTACTCAACATGAATAATGTGACACAAACAAATTCCTATTGCTCTACAGGGTGCGGAAAAGGGTGCGGCTTTGGGCGGCACTTTAAGTGGAGCGTTTTGTGCTAATGACTGGATGACGGATGACTTTGTGCTAATTATATCACTGTGTACGATGTTAATTTGGAAACTAAAATTACTTGTTAGTTTATTGGCAAATTTTTGGAGAAATTGCTTCATTTTGTGCAATTTACGGGCAACTTTTGTAAAAAGTATGCAAAATAAATTTCCGTTATCAGTCAGTTCAACTGTTAGTTTCGGAATTGATAACTGGCCACTTTTCTAATTATTAGTTTAGCCTTTAAAGTATATACTAGCTTATTCAACCAATCCAGGCTATCAATCACAATACAGAAACAAATCCTATTGAAACCTTAACCTAAACTACTTAATGCCATAACATGACTTCAAATTCTTAACTTAAGGCTACAGGCTGCAGCAAGCATAACTCTTGAAAGTCAATGATCATTATTTTGTGGAGTGCTCGTCAATGAAAGGAAATAAGCGTTTTGAATGGCTGCAGCAAGCAGGCTGAATGGCTGCAGCAAGTAAGCTGAATGGCTGCAGCCAACCCGTAGTTTAATTTCAACCGGCACGGCGCTTTACATTGCTCTGCGCTTGGGATAACTCCGAATCTGCGACTCTAACCGAGCTCAACATTGCTTAACTGCTTTAAACAATTCTGAACAACTTTTTGCCAGTTTGAGCCTTCAAGCAATGCTCTATTTCCATTGGATTCAAAAGTGCGCGAGTGAATTAAGCGGCTTAAACCCCCGCAAGCCCTCCCGGCATCGAATCCATCAGCTGACTTTTTGTTTTGCCTTTTTAGGTTTAAATGACTCGTGTGTTCTTTGCTGACTGTTCTCACTCAGTCAGCGGATTCGATCTTGGGAGATCTTGTCTTGTATTCTAACCTACTACCACTCGACCAGGCCCGCACTTCCTCCGTGCTTGAAAAGTCCGGTTTTAAGGTCTATATTTGATTTTTGCAATTCCATACAAAACTTTGCACGCTTATAACTTTTGATAAAGTGCCATTAAGCAAAAACGGGAAGCAGATTTGGAATCAGCATGAAATTCTGCGTCATGCTGATTCTGCTCATGTCATTTGGCTATCTCTATCCAGGTGATCATCTCTTGTAAGTGACGAGATTTTCAAATTTCAAAACTTTTACAACTCACGATTTTGCACACAACTCGGCAAGCATAGCGGCATACAGCTTTGCGGACAAGTCGGTGCCGTACTCGCCGGGATCGTTAGCTAAAGTGTTCGTTGATTTTAGATAGTAAATTAGGTAAATACTTATCCATTCGATAAAAAAACTAAGTAAATATGTTAAGGAGTAATTGTTGGACTAAAAACCAAACCGCATAATAGGAGACGCACGACGGCGTGCAAGAGGGCATACATGCGGGGGCACACGAGTTCTAAGAAAACAAAAAATTAAAAAACTAAAGTTTTAAACTTAGGTTTAAACATAAGTTTTAAACTTAATAGGAGACGAAACTAACAATAATAATTGTAGGTTAAATTGTAGTTGTAGTTATAGTTAATTGTAGGTTAAACTACAGGGTGCGTCATAATTATTGCAACAAGAGTTCAAAGACCGTTTTCCAAACAGCTTTCTTATTTTCTTTGCCTCCTTTTTTGTTGTGTTGCGTTCTATCTTCTTTATTCTTGCCTAATTGCCTCCGGCTCACACGAAGAAGACGGTTCAGGACTGGTGTGTGGCCAACTTTCCCTCAGTGATCACCAAGGATGAATGGCCTCCAAACTCACCGGATCTCAATGTGATGGACTTTTCCATTTGGGTAATCTTAGAGGCTAATGTCTGCTCTCGAAAACACACAAGTTTGGATTCTTTGAAGAAGTCTTTGACCAAAGGATGGAAGGCGATTCCTCAAGATGACATTCGGGCCGCAGTGGAGGCATATCCGAACCGATTAAGGGCTGTTATCAAGGCAAAAGGCGGTCATATCGAATGATCTCTTGTTTCCTTATTTGTTGCTGTTAAATAAAGCTATTTATGTTTAAAAATCTTCTTCCAGTGAAACTTCTTGGTGTGCAATGCCTTGAGTGCAATGCCTTGAGTATCTTGTTGCAATAATTATGACGCACCCTGTAGTTATAGTTAATTGTAGATTAAACAAATTCTTAAATCTAAACTTAAATCTAAACTTAACTTAAATCTAAACTTAAATCTAAGCTTAAATCTAAACTAAAACCTAAACTTAAATTTATTCAAGTCATGCTCATTTCCCTTTCCTTACATTCATCACCACGAATTCATAATCATCCGAGTCTTTAAAAGGCTCGGTTGTCGGATAAGTGGTGGGCTGACTCATTTTGAGAGTCACCTAAAAGAGAAATCCTATATAAAACAATTAAAACAATTTAAAAGCACTGTTAAAAGATTCTGTATTCTGCGCTATAAAGATCTGTAAAGATTCTGCGCTTTATAAACTAAAGAAGACATTTTGATCCCGTTTTATGTGACGGATTTAAAGCTCGTTATAAGAATTAACTTTTTGACCAACTTACAGGGTCCGTGAAAAGTTCTGTCCCATCCTAAAAGACCACTTTAACGATGTTTTCTGAATTTTCCAAGACTTAAAACCAACAAAATCAGATTTTTCAATTATTTTTACGCTAGAAAATAGTTGGGAATCTTCTATTCTTCTAAAAGAAAAAAATCTTCTATTTTAGTTACCGTATTTACTCGAATAGAAGACCGGTCTTCTATTTTTTCAATCACTCCCTAGACCCCGTCTTCTATTCGAGGCCGGTCTTATAATCGAGGCCGGTCTTCTATTCGAGGCCGGTCATATAATCGAGGCCGGTCTTCTATTCGAGGCCGGTCTTATAATCGAGGCCGGTCTTCTATTCGAGGCCGGTCTTATAATCGAGGCCGGTCTTCTATTCGAGGCCGGTCTTCTATTCGAGGCCGGTCTTATAATCGAGGCCGGTCTTCTATTCGAGGCCGGTCTTATAATCGAGGCCGGTCTTCTATTCGAGGCCGGTCTTATAATCGAGGCCGGTCTTCTATTCGAGGCCGGTCTTATAATCGAGGCCGGTCTTCTATTCGAGGCCGGTCTTCTATTCGAGGCCGGTCTTATAATCGAGGCCGGTCTTCTATTCGAGGCCGGTCTTCTATTCGAGGCCGGTCTTATAATCGAGGCCGGTCTTCGATTCGAGGCCGGTCATATAATCGAGGCCGGTCTTCTATTCGAGGCCGGTCTTCTATTCGAGTAAATACGGTATATAGAAAGCTTTACAGAACTTTTTATGACAACATTTGAGGCACCCTCTGATCGCAGGCTAAAGCTTTTTTAACACTTTTCTAAACACTTTTTTTAAATAACTATTTAGGTACTAAAACATTTTTGGGACTTTTTACCATTATTCACATCTGTCTAGCCATAGTTCATAAGAAATTTTGCTTTGCATTTGCGATCACAGGCCAAAATAGCTTTCCTAGCTTCGTAGCAAATTAGAATTTGGTATTTTCAAAAGTTTTTCGTAACTGTTTAGCTATAAAAACAGTTTGAAACCGTAATAAACTAAATAGTTACGAAAAACTTCTGAAAATATCAAATTCTAATTTGCTACGAAGCTAGGAAAGCTATTTTGGCCTGTGATCGCAAATGCAAAGCAAAATTTCTTACGAACTATGGCTAGCCAGAAGTGAATAATGGTAAAAAGTCCTAAAAATGTTTTAGTACCTAAATATTCATTTAAAAAAAGTGTTTAGAAAAGGTATTTTAGCCTGCGACCAGAGGGTGCCTCAAATGTTGTTTTTAAAAACTCTCTAAAGCTTTCTTAATAAATAAAATAGAAGATATGAAACAATTTTCTAGCGTAAAAATCTAATTTTGTTGGTTTTAAGTCTTGGAAATTTCAGAAAACATCGTTAAAGTGGTCTTTTAGAAGGGGACAGAACCTTTCACGCATCCTGTATTTTGTTCTTATCTTTTTCCAATTTTCTAAATACCTCCGTGAGACAGGTTGGCTTGCAATCGGGCATGCATTGAGCCGGACAAGTGGGAGAGGCTTGCGCCAATTGAAGGGTAAACTGCTGGACACAGCCCTGATCACACGATGGCATGCATTGTTGGATACAAGCACGAACGGGCACCTGCAAAATGGGATTGAGTGCAATGGGATTTATGGGGATTGCGCCAATTGAAGGGTAAACTTTTCAAGCTTGAGGCATTCCTTGGGAATGGAACCGGGAATTTTCCTTTCAGGATTAATTGTGCTGAACCCGGGAAAGCTCTCTGAAATTGGGGGTTTCTTTGTAAAGTTTGGTGAAGCCTTTGTAGTGTGTCAGTTCGTAATTTTTGTTGTTTATAAGGCCCATGTCTACTCGGCACTCACCGCGTTCACACACGCCGATGTGCACATTGGGCGGCACTGTTGTGGGCATTGGTTTATCATTTGAACGCACGTCTTTGTGCAAGTCGGCATACACGCCGGATCACACGATGCACTCGATGGAGCCTAAGTTTTATAATATTCTTGAAACAAACTCGGAAACTAAATCGTTTTTGACTGTAGCTAGGACTAATAACAGAAAAAAAAACTATAGAGAACTTGAGCCTACCGGGAAGGTTTGTCGAAATTGAATCTAAAGTTGAAAAAATGTTGGCATAAAGATTGGTTTTGCTTTAAAGTACTTTGTTTAAAGTACTTTGTTTAAAGTACTTTGTTTAAAGTACTTTGCTTAAAGTACTTTGTTTAATGTACTTTGTTTAATGTACTTTGTTTAATGTACTTTGTTTAAAGTAAAGACAAAGCTCACCACTACACTGATTTGTTGTAAACATTGAGGCAAACATCTGGGCATACACTCGGGAATGCACGTCAATTGAGTGCACGAAGATGGGCAATTATTTGTGCAAGTGCTAAAACAATTGGATAAAAATAACCGAAATTGCAGATGCCGTGATATAGTGCATTTCAAGCCCCCTTTTTTTACGATTTCGCAAAAACTACCGTAAATACTGTAATAGTACCCCACCCCCATAATGACGGTGCGGAGTGTTGCGTAGTCTAGCTTTGAACGAGTTTTTCTCGACACTTGTTTATGCTACAATGCGCGCTTAGATATCAAAAAATAGCCCTGAATTTCAGGGCTATTTTTTGATACCGAAGTGCGCATCGTAGCATAAACCAGTGTCGAGAAAAACTACGCAACACGTTCAAAGCCAGACTACGCAACACTTCGCACCGTCATTATGGGGATGGGGTACGATTACAGTATTTACGGTATTTTAGCTAGCGCTCTGGTTTCTTTTTTATTAGAAAGAGCGTAGCCGAAAACCCTAAAAAAAAACACGGCTACGGTAAGTTTCAAAAAGAGTTTAAGAATAAAACGAATAAATTTTAATTGCTTCAAGTATTGGGCTGCACTTTGCTTTCAAACATCTTGCTTTTTGTCACTTTAGATTGTTTTTTGTTGCTTCTTATGAATTGTAAAATTGGGAAGTGAATGGTAACAACGAAAGCAAGGCTCCACTTCTGGACCGTTGCAAAACTGGGGGGCGTGTCAGGCTTTGAACCCGGGATCTCCTGTACCCGAAACAGGCATCGTACCACTAGACTGACGGCTGGCAGACTACGAAAAAGGACGAATCGACGACACGCACTTGCAAAACAAGAAATCGATCAGAGAAAAAGAAACGTATTTTGGGTCACAACGATCGGGTTTGTCAATATCTTCAAAAAAAAGTTGTTTCTGCTCCTAGACGTCGAATCGGCGCAAAGTCGAGGCTAACTCATCGAACAAAACGTCGAATTGTGAACAACATCCACGGGAAAACGATTAACGAAGTCAAGAACAAGCTGAAAATCGACGCGTCTAAGACGAGTAATTAGCGAGTTGTCAAAGAAAATCCACACGTCGATCGAGAACTTCTCAATAAGCAGCCAAAGAAGGGGTGTGGGGCAAGACTTGAAACGCACTGTAGTACACCCTGAGTTTCGCCTAAATTCCTAGAAATCTCAAAAGCCGCTTATCAGAACCTATCGATGTGGGGAAAATGTAGCTGACGATGAGATCTTTTGGGTGATTAGAGTGTTGAGCTTCTGTGAAAGCTTGGAAAGCCGTAAAATAGGCATCAACTCGGCTCGACCGGGTGCACTACTATTAGGGAAAGTACGGTATTCAAGAATTTCATCAACTCTATGAAAGTGTACCTGCATGTAACCGCTTGAATGCACGCTGGAGAACATTGGGGTTGACAGGGTTGGAGGCATTGGTTAGTTGTCACCTAAAAGGCTTCAAATAGGATATAGATTCAGGCTAGAAACTAATGCGAAAGAACTTTATAAATCTAGAACCAAAAGAACTCTATACTCTATAGATCTATAGAATTTTTGTCGTTATTCGATTCCTCACACGAACCTGTAGTGCTTGAATGCATTGAGGAGCACATTGCGGCATACACGGTTGGATGCAAGTTTGCTGAGAGACTCGGATCTGGAAAGCTACTTGCATTCAATGAAGAGTACGGTAGGTATGCTGATCATGCTGAAAGCTTTGCAATTTTTGCAAACCTCCATTGCCTCAATGCAAGCCATTCGACAATCCGGCATACAAGCTTGAACGCAAGTTGGTTGAGCCGAGATCTAAAAAGAATTGGAGTTTACGGTTCTATTCAATTAAAGTAACGAGGACAAGAATGAAATTATGGTACAAAGCCAATATAAAAGCAAAAAAAGGCTTGGCTGTTGGCTAAAAATCCACCCCTGCCCATTATGGACAGGACTTAACCGTTTGCCTCATAACTTTGCATTGATATTCTATTTTGAGTTGGTTTTGATATCATTCGATGCGCAACTTTATTCTTCATCAAATGATAGTCAAAATGGTCAAAATCAAAGGGTTGGTGCTGAGAAAAACACAAAAAACCATAAATTGCCAACGGCAAAAAAACAGCCAGATTTTTTCGTTGCAAGTTTAGTAAGTTTAGTATTTTTCAGTTTGTTTCAAAACTGATTTGAGCTCGGAAAGCTTGAATGATACAAATTCTAGAGTAATCTCAAAATCAACAATGAACTGAACCAACCGTCATCACTCTTTGCACACATGAAGCTGAACAAGATGGAAGACACTCGCCGGGACAATTGGGGATGATCGCTCGCACACAGGCTTGGTTACACGTGGGCATACAAGCGGGCACACAGGTCACCTGAGTTGCTGGTTGAATCTGAAAAATCTTGCTAAGCTTTACCGCTGGCGTTGCGGTGATACACGTGGACGAGCAATCGGGCATGCAACGCTGAACACAAGCGGGAGTGGCCTGAACAAAGAGAATGCTGTAATGGTTGGAATGGTTGGAATGATTGGAATGGTTGGAATGATTGGAATGGTTGGAATGGTTGGAATGATTCTGTTTGTTCGGATCACTCATGCGACTAAACAAGTAAAATCAAACATTCTTTAGGTTTTCAAGTTTCATGGTCTTCAAGTTTCATTTTATTACCATGCACGAGGGTAGACAAGCTGGCATGCACCGTTTCTCGCAGCTGATCACTTGCACACACGTCGGGGAGCAATCGGGCATGCATTTTTGAACGCAAGTTTGTGCTGGCTAAAGAAATCAACAATTAGATACTATCTGAAAATCGAAAATCAAGAAACTAGCAATTTTCTTATAGTTAACAATCCTGTAATTCAAGATTTTTCAAGAACAAACAGGATGTCCCAAAAATTTTGGCACAACTTTTTGTAAAAGCAGTAAACGTCTAATTTATTTCAAAAGTGCCAAGTGTTATATAGAAATTTAAAGCCCGGAATCTTGGCTACATTTAGATACAAAAAGTTTTCGAATTGGAGGAACACAACTCATATTTTTCAGCACTTTCCGGCGCCATTTTTAACGATTTTCTTTATAAAACATTTATTAAAAAAAGCCTTTTTGTTATTTATTTTATTAAAATGAAAGATTTATTATCATTAATAACAATAAGAATAACCAGAAACTGTTTTTTGTCAAACTTTTCTAACCAAAATTCAATTATTTTAAGTTCATTTAAAAGCTCAAGGAAAAAAAAGCGAAAATTGGACGTTTTTTGATGTTTTTTTCCGGATGCATCCGAATTTTGATTTTTGTGCTGCTCTAGTTCTGTTTGTGCTGCTCTAGTTCTGTTTGTGTTGCTCTAGTTCTGTTTGTGCTGCTCTAGTTATGTTTGTGCTGCTCTAGTTCTGTTTGTGCTGCTCTAGTTCTGTTTGTGTTGCTCTAGTTCCGTTTGTGCTGCTCTAGTTCTGTTTGTGCTGCTCTAGTTCCGTTTGTGCTGCTCTAGTTCTGTTTGTGTTGCTCTAGTTCTGTTTGTGCTGCTTATAAATTCATTCAACTTCACTTTTTGAACAAAAAGAATTCAAAATTCTTTTGAGGAAGCCTTTCTGAATGAAAATCGTCAAGAATGGTAAAGAGATTGAGTAGTGTTCACTCAAAAGCTTGTCATATGAGTTGTGTGACTCGAATCCGAAAGCTTTTGCCATGTAAATGTAGCCAAGATTCCGAGCTTTAAATCTCTATATAACACTTAGCATTTTTGAAATAAATGAGACATTTGCTGCTTTCACAAAAAGTTCTGCCAGAACTTTTGGGGCATGGGACGAAAATCTTTTCGATTAACGTCCAAAACGAAAATCTTAACGTTCTAGGACTAAAATCTTTTGAATTTAAGTTACTAAGAGTGTAGAATTAACGATTTTTAAAGGTATTTAGTCCATCTGCATGTGAAGCTTCGAGTCAAAAAGGTTCTTTCGGCTTATTTCTGGTTCTGCCAACCCAGTGGCATCAATACATCGACCCAAATAGGTTTTGAAGTGACATAAACTTATTATTCATGTCTCCGATCCAACCAGAAGTACAAATCGGGTAATAGAAGCAAGCAGCAGAGCAGAACTGACCTCAATACTCATTACACAAGCCGCCGTGCACATCGGCATACAACGAGCCGGACAAACGGGCTCCGGTGATGGAGCGATCGCTCGCACCATCATCGGACAGCCACCACATCTGGAACTGAATTAGATTTAAAAATAGATTTAAACTTAGATGTAAATAAGATATAGATCAAGATATAAATAAGGTTAAAGTAGAAATTCTACTTAAAAAATGAAACGCGGCTTTTTAAAGGCGCTTTGTCGGGGTGGACGTCAAGCTGTCGATGTGGCCGAGTGGATAGCGCGCTTGATTACAAAGCGACAAAACGAGATGGCGGGCTTGGGTTCGACTCCCCATGCTATGACTATTACCTAATCGACTATGGAAATCGAACAGAATAGAAAAGATATTAAAACCGCTTTGTCGGGGTGGGCTTCAAGCTGTCGCTGTGGCCGAGTGGGTAGCGCGCTTGATTACAAAGCGACCAAAGAGATGGAGGGCTTGGGTTCGAGTCCCCATGCTATCAATTTTACCTTATCGACTATGGGAATCGACTAGAATAGATATTAAAACTGCTTTGTCGGGGTGGGCTTCAAGCTGTCGCTGTGGCCGAGTGGGTAGCGCGTTTGGTTGCAAAGCGACGAAATGAGATGGAGGGCTTGGGTTCGAGTCCCGATGCTACCAATTTTACCTAATTTTTTATGGGAATCGACTAGAATAGAATAGAGATCAATAGAATCGACTACGCAGCAGCTGACTATCGATAAAAGTGCCACGGTTAGTTAGATTAGATGTTGAAACTATTCAGCAAATAGTTGAATTGAGTTAAGCAGCTCAACTGCAGCAATGTAAGTGCTCAACTGCAGCAATGTTTCAACTCACCCGCAATCACTTCCCATACTGCACATGCTGCAGCATTGCCGTTTGCTTCTCGTCAACGAGACTTTATATGGATAAAAGGAATCCGGTTGTTTTCCGTCTTTCGTCTCCAAAGCTGACTAAAGAGGGGGTTTTACTTTAAAAAAAAAAAAACGATATTTCTTTCACCAATGGTTGTGTGTAGATATCCTCGGCAAAGATTAAATTCAACAAAAATAGTTGAATGCATAGCCGGAACGGTAATCGGTCGATCATTTTAATCGTACTACTAAGGTTTTTTTCGTATTGTAGAATAGTAAAAAGATGACTAGAAAAGGAAAAATGTGACTAGAAATCAAAAAAAGAAACACAGAGCACAGAAAAAGCTTTGCAAATTACAAATCTTCAGCTTAAGACATCGAAATTGCTATTTTAATCGATTTTTAGAGCAATTTTAAGAATTTATTATTGAGAATTGTTTGAATTGATAAGTTTGAATTGAATTTTAAGAATTAGACGTTAATGCAACGAATTAGACGTTAATGCAAGCTGATTAGAAGCTAATGCAAGCATGGAGATGACCAAAGCTAATGTAGCTAGCCAAAGCCAAACATTGGCTTTAATCTTTGGCTTTGAATTCAGAATTGATCTTAGAGACAAAAAGCTTTGAGAGACTTTCAAAAAAGTATATCCAAACCAAGGAAGGACAAGAAGAGTTGACTGTTATTGAATGTCAAAGAATTGACTGTTATTGAATGCCAAAGATTAATTGCAATCGACTTTTTGGGACCCAATCCACCAATTGGACTTAAAAGATGAGACCGGGAAACGCCCATTTCACTTTTTGCGACTCTCTCCTGTCACCCAAAAACCATAAACGTCAAATGCATCGAGCAAAAAGAGATACGGGAATTGAAGGATACTGAAGATCCCGTACGTGGGAAATGTATGGAAATTTTGTCTCAAAATTCGCTGTAAATAAAAAGAATTGTTTTGAATTGCCTTGTTTAGAAGACAAGAGCTTACAATTAGCAGTACAATGGCTAGAATGGCTAGATGGCTGGCTGGCTAGATGGCTAGAATGGCTAGATGGATGGCTAGAACGTGGTTTCAAAATTAGCTAAAGATCGCTACAAGACACGCTTGAATGTCCGAAAGTTTAAAATGGTAATGTTTCGAGGACATAGGATTACGATAGGCTTTTACAGTAGGTTTTGCATGGATAACGGTAGCCTCTTTGCACGGATTACGGTAGCCTTTTTGTACAGATAACGGTAGTCTTTTTTTTACGGATTACGGTAGCCTTTTACAGTAGTTTTTGTACGGTTTACGGTAGCTTTTTGTAGTGTTGCGTAGTGTAGTGTTGCGAAATAAGAGATCGTTTTCCCTCTAACAAACAACCAGATTCTACGCAAAAAAAACTTAGTTATATTTTAAGAATTCACTACTTTATTATCTTGACGAAAAGTTGGCGAAAAGATTTGACTATTAGAGTGAATATAGGAGAATAATCATCGAAAGTTAATGAGAAAATAGGAAGAAGAAGGAATGGAAGAAGAGGAAGGAAAGGAAGGAGAAGAAGGGATGGAAGAAGAAGGGATGGAAGAAGAAGGAAAGGAAGAAGAAGGAAAGGAAGAAGAAGGAATGGAAGAAGAAGGAATGGAAGAAGATGGAATGGAAGAAGAAGGAATAGAAGAAGAAGGAATGGAAGAAGAAGGAATGGAAGAAGAAGGAATGGAAGAAGAAGGAATGGAAGAAGAAGGAATGGAAGAAGAAGGAATGGAAGAAAAGGAAGATGAAGAAAATGAAGAAGAAAAGGAAGTAGAGGAAAAGGAAGTAGAAGAAAAGGAAGAAAATGAAGGCAATGAAAATGCCAATAACTTGAATCTTCAAATCTTTAGCCCAAAAACAAACGTTTTCTCGGATCTGCCGGATGTGTGATGTGTCGTGGTTGTCCGCGGGAGTCCGGCCCTTTCCCCAGCCTCCTCCCCCCTCCGGCTTTTCCCTTGTTGATCTATTTGTATCGTCCCCTCCTCCCGATCCGAAGTGTCACACCGTTCAAATTTCCCCAATTTTCTATTGGTTTTTGCTTCTCTTCTTCACTTTTTGCTTCTCTTCTTCACTTTTTCCTCTCTTCTTCACTTTTTCCTTTCCCTTTCAACCTTTATTGGTGTCAGGATTGCCATTGTTGACGCGCGATCCACTCGAACAAGATACGAGACGAACCTATCCCGATTGAAATCCAGATTGAAGTCCAGATTGAAATTCGAAACATTTCCAAGAGCAGAGATTTTCTGAGGCCAAATTTAGGAGTACTCAACGGGGAAGTGCAATGGGAAAGGCCCTGTTGTGTGTTTTTATGGGCGAAATTTCCCTCGAGAGGTCCAAAGTTCGTTGTAATGCGAAATTCCCTGTGAAATTCCTATTTTTGGATGTACCCCTTTTTGTTTGATCTTTGGCGCTAGAGTGCATAGATTGAAAAGCAAAAAAGCTGACTGCAGAAATGAAATTGTTTGAGGCTAGTCTTCTTAAGTTCAGTGCGTCCTCTAGAGCTTCAATGGCTTGGGGCTAGACTTGGGTCGAAGCCCAGCTGAGCAATGCGTCTGCAGATCGGATCCGAAAGGTTGCATAAAAGTCAATCACCGCTTGCTTTACAAGTCAAACAATAAAATTCACAAGAAACAATGTTTTAGAGGTTCTTGAAAGTCCTTTTACAAAAAATGAATCGAAGATGACGTCAAAGATGACATTTGCTGACAGAAATCGACAAATTTTATCAAATTATTAATTATTTGAACGCAAGTTTGTGCTGGCTAAAGAAATCGACAATTATTTTTTGTTCTTCTGATTCGCGAACAAACGGCGAACTAGTGAGTGTTCCCAAAAACGCACTTTTTGGTGCTTTCTTTATCTTATTTGGTATCTTATTCTGGCTTAATAGTAAGGGCTTAACCAAATAGAAATTCTTTTTTCGTATCAAGCTTTATAGGCATCTTGAGTCCAAGATCCAAGAAGATAAGGGCCTAAGCCTAAGCCTAAGCCTAAGCCTAAGCCTAAGCCTAAGCCTAAGCCTAAGCCTAAGCCTAAGCCTAAGCCTAAGCCTAAGCCTAAGTCTAAGCCTAAGCCTAAGCCTAAGTCTAAGCCTAAGCCTAAGCCCACAAGTCTTAAACTCCCCCACAAGCCCTTTGGAGTTCCCAGGGTTTGCTGGAGCACTTTTTAGCATGATAATAAGAATAAGATACTAGATAGATCTTTATTCAGGACCTGAAATAAAATGCGATAGATTTCCGATTAGCACATTTGAATTCAGACAAATAACACGAAAAGGGCCGATCAAAAGCAAGACGATATAAATGTATTTAATGGGTAGCACAGAAAACGTCAAGAATCCACTAGAGCTTCAAGAACAAGAGCATCTGCCGATAATTTAAAAGTTTCGAGACTATTGGACTCTCTCAAAACTCTGGGGAGTCGATTCCAAATTTCAAATCCAAATTCCAAACCCAAATTCTGGGAGTTCTTATTGGAAAAGAGTTACTCGAATTGTTTATTTGAAGCTAAAGATGGTATTTCTTCCTGCCATTAACCACATAAAAGCACTGGCTCTACAAGCATTGGCTCTACAAGCATTGGCTCTACTAGCATTGGTTCTACAAGCACTGGCTCTACAAACATTGGCTCTACAAGCACTGGATCTACAAGCATTGGCTCTACACTTATTGGAGGTGACTGGAATTTCTAAAACGAAAGAACCTCTCCTTGAACTAGCCGGGATTAACTGAGATTAACTTTGAATAAAACTCGAAAAAGAGGGATAGGTTGCCTTACAATTTTGAAAACTTCTATTAAATCCGTGACCAAGCGGCGGTATTGATAATATTTTCCCACACCTTTTTTACTTTGAAGTGAATGTGAACTGTATTCAGCCAAAGCCAAAGCCAAGGCCAAAACCAAAGCCAAAACCAAAGCCAAAGCCAAAGCCAATGCCAAAGCCAATGCCAAAGCCAATGCCAAAGCCAAAGCCAAGGCCAAAACCAAAGCCAAAGCCAAGGCCAAAGCCAAGGCCAAAGCCAAGGCCAAAGCCAAAGCCAAAACCAAAGCCAAAGCCAAAACCAAGGCCAGAGCCAATTCAAGCTTGAATCGCGTAAGAAAATTGAGTTAGATACAAATCTATTGTCCTTATTCATATTGAAATTCAAGAAAACCCGGCTATTACACAGTAAGCCTTTCTGGGCGGCAAATGAATAGGCAAATATTAGCTTTATGGCATAAAAGCTGAACACCGGAACACCGGAGAAATTTTCCTGAATGAACACCCGATGGGGGTAAATATCGAACGGGGAACCCATCGCCCATCTCCTTTCCCTTTTTTTTGCCTAAAGCCTTCGTTCTTTTCCCTTTCAGCTTATGGAAAAAGTGTCCCGATCGCTTCCGAGTTTTTCCACCGATCAGCCATCAAGCGTCGCAAAAGACGTGAAACGAATTTAGCATCTCTGAAAAGGCAAACACAAGAGTGTACCCATGATCAGCTTGACGGGGTGCAAAATTTCGGGATGATGAAATTTCTGGATGTGAATTGGAACAAACTAGAGTCTTATTGCGTTCTCTAAAACGTGGTGACTTTTTGGAAGACTACTGGAAGCTACTGGAAGCTACTGGAAGCTATTGGAAGCTATTGGAAGCTATTGGAAGCTTGAAAAGATTGAAAAGAACCTAAAGATAACAAAGAAAAAACAACACCTAGTATATAAAAGAATTGCCTACTTTTCCTGATCGATTGATGAATTGAGAAATTCTTTTTGGCACACTAGAGATCAACTTCTGAATGACAGGCTCAAGAGAATCAAGAGATCAAGAGAATTCCAGACAACTCGAATCATGGTCTTCAATTCACCAACAAAAGCAAATTGACGACGATTTTTGTAAACTTTAAACTGTAAAACTTTTTGTAAACAAGATACCCCACAAATTCTCGATCTGGTTGAGGTCGGGGCTTGACCATTCCATCGCAGCCATTCGCCTTCATTGTTTGTTAAAGTTGCTGAAATGAATTGTTCATTGTCCCGTTGAAATTGGTTGACTCTTTGAGGGTTTTATGCCATAAATGGAAGCAAACTTTTATCCAAAACATCAACAAAGTCTTGGTTGTTCATTCGGTTGAAGACAAAACGCGAATCGACCAACCCATCGGTACAGAAAGCTGCCCAGCACATGACATTTCCTCCTCCGAGATTCCTTTTGCCATAAATGATTGGATCTTTCCTTAAATCTTCTCA